ATGTGAATAGAGAGTACTTCCTGATGCCATTGAAAATCATCAAAATAGTGTAATTTCCCTTTTTAAAAAATGTATACTATCATCAGCTATAGGGAGATTGATGTATTGCTTCTTAATACTTCTAATTATTTTTGGATCAATTTAATTGTGGTCTCCAAACACTGTTTCACAGACGTCTGTGTAGATATTGTTACTGGAGCTCTGCAGCTTTATTGCTTCATCTCTTCTACAGGAGTTCGGAGCCTGCTTGCTGGACTCTACTGGGTCTACTGAGTCTACTGAGCTCATCCATTTTTTTCAAAAGGTTTTTTTTATTTACTCAGATGCCCAAAATATGCTATTATAATAGTATTTATTGATAGCCTGACTTAAACCAGCTTCTTAGACTAATCAGAATCCTTTTTTCCTTTTTTTCCCCTTCAAGATTACAAGTTTGGTTGATAAATCAGGTGCACTTCCCCATCTTTATGTGAATATGAGCACAGAGATGAATATTTTCCAAAGTTATCTTTAGAGCTGTTTTCCTAAAAATGCATAATTTCATAATACTAATAAATATGATGACAAATTTAGGAATTTCTAAGGATCTTTATACATAACAATTGGATGTTTGTAATCACTTTATATGCATTTAACAGATTATAAATTGAATTATTTGACAGATTTTAAAATTTATTCACTTGGGAAAAATAACTGATCTTGAAATGATCACAGAGTGAAGTCTGTTGTTACTGGAAAATAAGCTGGAGCTGGATCCCTTTGAATTTACTGGGTGCTCATAATATATGTTGAGGCATAAATAAAAATAAAATTGGTCTCTCTCACTGTGTCATATATTCTTTGTTTCATCCTACTGTATTAAAAGATAGGAAGCACATCACGTCAAAAATTGTTTGTAAGAAGTTTTGCAGAGTGTTTCTTGATTTCAAAATGGTCACACACTGGGAAATAAGTACTGTCAGAATATCAGTCTGGCCTCAAAAGTTTTGCTGTTGGTGTATTTTAAATGGAAGCAAAATTTAGCATATGAAATTTGAATATTGCTGCAGCTTCAATAACCATTTAAAATTTGTTATAACAGAGAAGAGGTTCAGACCTCAGAGTCTGAGCTCCCTTTAAACAATCTGAGTAATCCTGCAGCTCTTTCTGCACCATCTACAAGTCTGACTGCAGTTAAGTCGCTGTATTGCAGAAAGTACCAAACCGTGTTTCATCCCCATCATCAACTTTTGAATACTGTGCTCTGTTTTGGGTCCCTCGTGACAAGAAAAATGTCCAGAGAAGGGCAACGGGGCTAAGGAAAGGTCTGGAGCTCAGGTCAAATCAGGAGTGGCTGCTAGAGCTGGGGATCTTTAGCCGGGAGAAAAGGAGGCTCGGGGTGACCCTATCACTCTCCACAGCTGCCTGACAGGAGCGTGTAGCCAGGTGGGGGTCGGTCTCTTCTCTCGAGTAACAAGTCCATGCTTAACAATTATGAACAATTTTACGACCGTTTCTAAGCTATTTTTAACAGTCGCTGTGTTTCCTGCGCTGCCGGCCGCACTGACCTGCAGCAGCACCGGCCCCCTGCCCCCGTCCTCTGGCACCCGCCCCGGCCCCCGGGCCTCTGGCACAGGCCCCTGGCCCCTGGCACTGGCCGCCGGCCCCGGCCCCGGCCCCCGGCCCCTGGCACAGGCCCCTGGCCCCTGGCACTGGCCGCCGGCCTCTGTCCCCGGCCCCGGCCCCTGACCCCTGTCGCAGGCCCCTGGCACAGGCCCCTGGCACCGGCACCCGGTCCCTGTCCCCGGGCCCTGGCCGCCTCCTGCCGCTGCTACCACCGCCGCCCGCCCTCGGCCGTGCCCGCAGCCGCGGCGCCCCGGCCTGGGAGCCCGCCGGTGCTCCAGGAATGCGCTCGGACCAGGAGAGCTCGTTCCCTGCCGACGGGGGGGACACGCCGCCTGCTGCTGTTGGGAAATCGCGCCCAGCCCGCCACGGGAGCTGTGCCAACGCGCCGCGGTTCGCGGCACACACGCTCCTCTGCCAAGTGGGCCCTGACAGAGCGCCGGGGCTCCTGCGGTAGCGCTGCCCCTGCCTGTCTTCGGCTTCCCGCTGTGTTCCTTTTCCTAACTCGCTTTTGTAGGAACGCTTACTCTTCTTTGTCGGTAAACGGGTCTCAGATCTAATGTTGTTGCATTTACGCTTTATTCTCGTCTGAGAAATCTATCAGAAAGAACCCTCCCCCACTGCCTTCCCCACTGTTTTCTAGTGGGACGGGACACAGAGAGTATACAACACTGGAATTAATGCTTAATGCAACTTTTTGGGCAACTTTCAAAGCTTAACCGACATCTTCGTGTGCAAGTAAAATTCCTGACTCGTGTATCCCAGTGTCCTGTACCGTTTGTTTTGCTGCTGTCAAGTTTGCTGACCTCTGTTGTTCACCTGACTAGGAAACAGCATTGCAGCATCATCATCTGGTACATATATTCTCCACCTGTATGCTGAATCTGGAAAATAATTAAGAACTTTTTAAAGGCTTAGGAAAAATAGGATTGATTGAGGGAATCATATTCCTTATCATACTTGTATATTATATTCTGTATCGTATATGGAAAGATATAACTTTGTGCTTCTGAAGTATCTCAGAATGTGGGCATTTGGAGAAGAATGGTGGTTTTGTTTGTTCTTTCAGCTAAGACAGGGTACCCTGCATACCCTGGGAGATTTTAAAAAGCAAACAATCACTTATTAATAGATATCACTTTTACAGGAAAGTTTTGCCATACTGAAAGAGAACAGGTACTCTGAAAAATTGGATAAAGCATATTATTTTATGTTAAATTTGACAGATATGCTTAAAACTTTTCAAAGGTATGAAGTCTACAAATTTGAGTATATGCAAAACTGAACTACAAGAACTGGGAAATAACAGGAAAACTTTGAATGTATGATCCTTAAACTAAGAGAATATTAAAACAGAATTATGATACCATACACTGATGATGTGCACAGTGTTTTAGCTGGGGCTTCTTCTGGAACATAATTCACATATTTGCTAACTTTTGACTGTTTTTTGTTTTCCAGTGTTAATTATGTTCATTTAGCATATGTTACCTACATTATCTTAGAAGGAAGTACTTGAAATTACTTTTAATAGTACAGTATGATTTTTAAAATTATTAATGTGCAGCTTTTTTCTTTATAAATGATATAAATAATAACGAATAATTGCAAGCAATCTTGCCTAAATAAGCAGAATCACCATCGCACCAAAATGAACGAAATGAAAGCTTTTCCTGCTTTCATTTCAGTCAGTGGTATGTTAGAATTCTGAATATTCTAAAGGATTTGTTTTTTAAGACCCACCAGAATTTTTTCAGGGTCCTCTGAGTCCTACTTACTTAAAATTCACAATTATGTATCAAATTATTGACTAAAAGCAAATGTTACTATTGTAAACTTAGACTTTGCACCCCTTAGAAAGTAAACACATAACATTTCTTTTTGTCCTACAAAAGGAAATACTGAAGTTTTATTAGTCATATATGACAGTAGTTTCTTTAGTGTTTCTTACTTGAGAAAAATTAAAAGTGCACAAATAGAAACAAATCCAACATGCACTGACGCTTTATTCTCTTAGAGCAGGTTGTTCTGCCTGCATGTATAAAAATGATAATAGGTCATTAATAAGCATGGAACATTTGTAAGGAAGGTCTGGTTCCAAAGTCAGCTTGGTTTGAGCGTCTTCTGTGGATTGCTGTGAGATCATATATCTCAGCTGCAGAAAGGCTAAATGGAAATTTTAATGTGCCACATGCCAGATGCATGAATGGAATTTAATCCTTCTAGTCTAGCAAGATTAGTTACTTAAGCAGCTCCCACTCCACATCCATTCTTTTTTTTTATTCTTTTTTAAAAAAATGTTATAAATGGCTATTACAGAACAACTGGAATTTGGAATGTTGCTTATTCCTACCTATCTTTTAAAGGCTAAGTTTCTAAGTAATCTATTACTGAATCTGTTAGAAAAAAATAAATCACATGTCCTCACTCTAAAGCAGCTCTTATTTCTCTTTGCTTGAAAGGGAAAGGAATAAACTTCTGTTTGAGTGTCTCTGTTCCAGATCTAGTATGGAATTACTTAGATCTCTACAAAGATGCAGGACAGGAACTGTAGTTGTTTCTGTATAAATGAGCAGTAAGGGCTCCCCAAAAGATGTGACTCTTCTACAACCCCAAACCCCTAAGAACAAGTAGGTAATTCAGCTGCCTTGCCTTCAATACCTGTTAAAGAGCAGCATGGGAATTTCTTTTTCTTAATTAATTTAAAAGTCTGATAAAATATGTAGCATGCAATCCTAAACGGTTAGGTTAGGGCATTAGTTTAGAGGGTTTATCATGTATAGTTTGCATGTACTCAGAGAATGGAGAATGAAAGTTTCATATTAAGTGGGGCATAATTTTTAAGGATATCCATTCTTAGTTTCAGAGTATGATGTCCAGTATATCCTTACACTCTTGTTCTATCCTTTGTATATTCCTCTGCCAACATAACGAGATTTCTGCCACTGCTTCCACCTGCATCTTCCTTTGAGATAGTCCCAGGAGTGGTACCAGAGCATTACATGCCAGAGTAATGGGTTTTTCAAATCACTGCAAGCCAGTACAATTTGGAGCAGAGCCAAGGACAGCCTTAAGTTTTGCTGAGGGTGAATTCAGTTCTTCAAAGCATCATTGACCTGGGAAGCAGCAAGTGGATCTGCACTGCAATTTTGCAGATCACCCAAGTGTCCAAGCCATTCTCCTTCACTTGGCCACTGCACAAATAAATGAGACTACAAGCAACATAGTGCTGATGAGGAACAACATTTTCCACGTCTTTGTGTGAGCATTCTATCAAAGGCATGGGAAATGTTAAATATTCATTCTATAAATATATAGTGCCTTCTCTGTTGAATTTTGCAACATGCAATTAATTTACATAATATAATTTATTTTTTGTTAAGTAAAACAAAAATGGATAGAAGGACATTGCATTTCTGTATGTTTTTATTTAACAACATATTTATAACATATTTAAATATAAGACATTAACTTCATTAAGGGATAACAAAATTCATAGACACAAGCCTTTCCCAAGAAATAAAAATCAACTGCTTGGTTTAAGTTTAGAGTCGCTGCCTCTGAAAACCAAAGAGAAATATGGCACAAGGCACATAAAAAAAAAATACTTGCAAGACAGTTTAACAGAGTGTAAATGATATAGCACATTCCTAAGGTCACACACATCTAGATTTGTCAGGCAAGTAGAAGGTAGTAACACTCAAGATTCAGCAAATGTGGTTGTTTGGAATTTAACTGCTAGAAGGATTTAGGAACTGACATGTTTCATGCTTCTGCCATGTTTCCAGAACTGCTAAAAAGGTCTTTGCCAGTTCACCAGGGAAAAAAAACATGCTTTCAGATATTTCTTGAAGAAGCTGTGGTAGTTTTCCAAAAGTTTCCAGCTCTTTAAAATACATATCTACCAACCAATGTCCAGAAAATGCATTTTTCATCTTAGAAGTATCACAAACCATTACTGGAAGTATATTTGAACAACCTATTGCTCGCAGAGTTACAGTCAGGGGTGTAGACAAATTATAAACAGAACAAAAATTAATCAGCATCTTAGTAAATGAAAGCAAACACAGTTCTTTCTTCTGATTACTAAAATCTTCTTCTCTGCATTCATAGAAGTTTTCAATGCTCTCTCCTGGATAAACAAGATTCAGAAGTTCTTCCTTTGCTGTGACTGACTCAACATAATCCAGTGGCAGTTTCTCATGAGAGTTCCTTTGCTCTAGAAGGACTGGCCCTTCAGGAAAACCACAAACATTAATAACAACAGCACATTTTGTGATGAATTGGCAGCTGAACAAGATTTTTGGATTGCTTACTGTCAGAAGCCAGGTGTTTAAGTTCCTTTTTTTTTACCAAGTTATGTTAATGTAACTGATGACTTACACATTTTCAACACATGACAGAACCTGTAGAGACCCTTTGTAACAATTTCTTTACAGTATTGTCTTAACTTGCATTGACTATGCAAAAATAGAATGTTATTACTTTTGTAGAATTCTATTAAGTACTTTGTAGACTAGGTTATTTGCTGACATTGACTTCAAATTAAAGGCATGGAACTATGACAGTCTTTATTTTACTTTTCTGGATGGTGTGGCCAATCTTGCCTTATGCTGTACAGCAAGGTAAACTATTGGGGTAGGAATCCAAACCTTCCCCAACAACTGAATTTAAAAATTTGATCTTAACAGATTTCTGAAACACAAAACATAATTACTCTAATAAACAGATTTAAAGTAAGTAAATAGGAAATGTTTATTTGTTCAGAGCTAGTCTGAACAAATAAATCCTTTTAGTATTTCCTGTTTATTAGTACAAGGGACCTATTAATATTTAAAGAGCTTACACATCTCTTGGGAAGTTTAAGAAAGGATGCATCAGTAAGAAAAAATGAAGGCTGTTAAGATACTACAAGTGTTTTTCAAATAGGAACACATCAGGAATCTTATATAAATTTGTATTACTATGCTAAAGTAATGATACCATATTAACATGAATGCTTCTTCAGAAATACATTTTGATGACAAAAGGTGAACTCCTACATTTTGTATCAGTAATAGATATTTTAATTTTGCTCAAATTAAAGCTGTATTATCATTATTATTAGTGATCATTAACTTCTGTGTTCTAAATTATTGAGCTAAGTAAATTCACACTGAATAGTTAACATGCCTTCTACCATGGGCCTGTCAGTTACTTGACAGGCCATAACTCAGAATGTGACAAAGGCACACACAGCTTTACACTTGCCAGAAAACCTTGATGAATGCAAGTGCAAGTAAAGCTCTTCCCCTACGATAACAAGATCATCCACTACGTGTTCTTCACAGCAGCCTAGGAAAAATGCACATCTGTTAGTGCAGTGCCTTTTCCAGTTGGGGAGCTGGGCTTACTATAATATTTGCCATTGCATCACTTCAGCTGATTGATGTGAGCCCAGGTATTGGTTGGGCATGTTAGATGCCAAGGTGACATGGCACAGTAGAGATATAAAACACCTGGGAGCTACAGAACTGAGACTCAGTAAACAGAGACAGAACTGCAGAAGGAATGTATTGATCATGGTCTGGTGCTTGCACAACAGAAACAGACACAGCCTTTAGGGGGCAGGAGAAGACTGTAAATATAGAGGGTTATATAGCAAGAATCAAATTTAGTTTCTCTACCTTAATTATTAGGCTGCCTAAATACACTCTTCTGCCTCATGAGTAAGCAAAGAATGATTTTTACTGAAAAAATCTGGGTTTGGCGCATAAAACACAGTTTACAGTGACACAGTAGGGCAATGGTACAAATATTTCAAATACTCATTTTAGTAAATTAATTTAAATAAGGAAGAGTTGCTATCCAAGATGATTCTTTGTGGATATTTGGGGTTTTTTTAAAACATGCTAAATTAAATACATTGGTACAGTACATACTTCAAGATACAAATCTGAACAAAAAGTATTGTTTAAAACATTGTGTGCTTGCCTAAGGGGCAAAGTACTTTTTTTAGAAACTAAGGCATCTCTCTCACTATTATCCCTAAACAGCAGTTATCATGATTACAGTATCAATTACTTTCTTCAACTAACAGTATTCAGAGACCATCACATCAATTTTCACAAATGCTGAAAAAAATTATGTTGAAATACACGAATATAGAGAGATTTAGACAATCGGGGTTTGTGTTGTGGTAAAAATAGATCAAAACAATAGAAAATACTTAGCCTTGATTGGTGACTAGGTAATCTTTATTTTCATTAGTGGAGAACATAGTTGCAATGCTTATGGTGTAAAATGCAGGATAAAAACACTAACATATTAGAAAAACATGTGGAAATCCTGGTTAATTTCATATTCAGCTGATCAAGGGAAGTGTGAAAATAGTATTATTTTTACTGTAAACAAACCAGCTAGGCTTAAAAAGTTCTAAAATATTTCATAATAACTTTGTATTTTAGAAAACTATCAAGCAAAACACTGAGAACTTCATATGGATTCAGAACAGAGGGTAATTTCCCTAAACTAGTTTAGCATAAATGCACTCACCCCCATGCTGAAGTAGCAGCTTGCCAATATCTATATGTCCATTTGACAGTGCATCATGCAAAGGAGTCACCCCATCCACTTGACTGAGCAGGTCTACCTCTGGACAACGCTCCAGAATTTCACGGACACACACTGTGCTACCATGGTTACAGGCTTCATGCAAAGGCGTCCAGCCAGCATAATCTGAATTATAAATCAAGGGAAGTTTTAAAACAGCAGAAGTAGTACTGAAATGTTAATAATGTAATTCATTAGACAGGAAAACACTTTACTTTTTTACTACTCATTACAGCTGGAATGGCAGCTTGTGATTTCAAAACAAGAAATTCTATTGAAGAACATCTGAATAAAATAGCATTTTTAAGAATCAGTAGAAAATATGTTAACATACACTTCAGTTTTAAATCCATCTTACCTTAATGTTTGCTGTAAAGTCCTCACTTTGTGCCATTTAAAAAAGAAAGAGCTTCAGATTGTATAAAAACCTGATACCAAACAGATACTAATATAGTTCTTTACGTGTCTTAATTTCTTAATTTTGTAGAGAAAATTAATAACTTACCTTTAACATTAATGTCTATTCCCGGCAAAGAGAGAAGCTGGATCAATCTCTCCACTTTGTTATTTCTGCAAGCTTTATGCAAGGCTGTCTCTCCTACCATAAAAAATTAATAGATTACACTAGACTAGACAAGATAGCAACTAAAGAAAATAATCAAAGAGTCTGGAACTAGGAGACCTGGTTATGTACCAGAAAACTCAATAATGAGTACGATTTTCCTTTATCCTTTTTAAACATCTTAAAAGAAAAAAAACCCCACGGAGCTTCTGTTCCACCAGAGATCCAGCAATGAAATTGTACTGCAAATGGTTTAACACAGGAATTATCTCCCCTCTAGTTCAAGGTTTAAAGCTTCAATCACACTATAAAAGCACCAAGTGATCACAAAACACCAAAAAATACTGGGTTTTGAAGCAGTAAAACTTTAGAGTGCAGTTGCCCTCCCTTAAATTTATTCATGAACCTACATTAAGATGTATGGTTCTTTTTACACAGCGTTTATAGCTTAATTCAAATGAATGTTTCTGGCTAAGCACAAGTGCCTCTACACACTCAAGTATAAATCAAAACTTCAAATCTATTAGCAGATGGTTTTCTGTTTCTCAATAGACTCTCTGACTTGGCTACAGTAAAGAAGGAGGGGAGAAAGAGGGAAATTAATAATAATACCAATATTAATAATAATAAAATTATTACCAGTATAGACCCTGGGGGAAAAAAAATCCCAAACCGTAGTACCATGTACAGCTGAAATAAGTGTGAAAAATTAAACAGCAAACAACTGAGAGCTGCTGTTTATGTATGTAAAGACACCACTAGCTTCTGTGCAATAAAAACTTCAGACACATTCTAAATGCTGTTTTCTTTTCAATAATTGATTAGCTCTGAACAAGAGCCAGAGGAAAATCCTGATACCAGGTAAAGATGATGAACCAAACATCTTAGAAATTCAAGATACATTAGGGTAGATCTCTTAGCTTTTAAAGTAAGATTTACATGGAACATTTTGTTATATTAATACCTTTACTATATAAATCTGTCAGCCCATTCTTTCAACAGAAGACACTACTTATAATTTCAGCAGGGGTGACTAGAACAAAAAGCAGGATTGGTTTGTTTGGTTCCACTTCCCTCCCCCCCCCCCCCCCAAGTCTTTCAGCTCACTTCTCTTTGCAGAAATCAGGTGTAATAATTCACATCAATTTTACTTGCAAAAGCAATAAAAACAAAGGGAACAAATTTTAAAAATGTATGGTCTGACTCTGTTGCTGAAGTTTTTTTAAACCTTTAAAGGGGGTGAGGTCTTCTTTTGTTTGTGCTATAATTCTGTTTTTAATTTTTTGAACAACTCCAGCTTGCTTTTGCCAGTTTTTTTCTCCTGGGTGTCATATTAATAGAGTTGTAGGTAAATTTCTGATGATGAAGATGAAAAAGTAGTTTCAGCAAGCAATTCTGTAGTAAAGCAAGCCTCATGCAAAGTACAATTATTAAACTTGTGTAGTAAATAGGAACTGAATTAATTACTGCAGTGCTGTTTTATTCCTTAGGTACATGAGTTCCAGTATAGTTAAAACAAAAGCCAAGTGCATTTCATAGTTTGGGCTGAATGCCTGGAAGAAAACAGTCCATATGCTTAAAACAGCTATGTAGCATAGCATACTCCTCAGTCTTTGTTCACAAAATGTCTAGGACTCAGAGAGATGAAGACTGAATTATACTTGCAAATCAGAAGACGTTGATCCTACCAAGCACAGGTTGAGGTGGATTAGCAAAGTAAGGCAGGCAAGACTGGAATGCGCTCATACAAACTGTACCCTGTATTTAATGTATGGAAGGAGGAAGGGTAATGAAAAAGGCAACTTTATTTTACCATATATACAAATTGCTCCTTTTAAACAGACATTGCAAAAGAGAAATGTGAACCATACGAAAATAATTCTTGGGCATAAGCCATCGTTTTAGTCCAGCATTCATCAGGATAAGTTTTTAAACGTGAAACTATAAATTCTAACCACTTTAAACTTCTTAACATAAATTAGATATGTAGAATACCTTTAATATTTCTCTTGTGTACCTCTTCAGCCAAAAGAGGACTCCCTCTTGTGTGGGCAGTCTGGACTTCTGTTTTTGCTCTAAGCTCATTAAAGATTAAGTCATTGAAAAGAAACCAAAGGGAACACATTTAAAATCACTATTTCATACTTAATGTATGTGTACTTAATGGTTTTAAATGTGTACATACAGGATACTTAGATTTAGCCATTTCAGTATCATAATGGAAAGGTCTTAATTACGTAAGTTCTGTGACATTTAATTATAACTGTATTTAAAATAGAAATCAAATAGGATTGTCCACTTTTAAACTCTCTTTAAAGGTAATTCCATGAACAATGAACTTCTGTATATACCCTATAAATTTAATATTAGGCAAATAAAACTACATCAGTCTGCATATACACTGAAATTGCTGATCAAAGAGAAAAGGGGAAACCCCAGCCCAAAGGTGTTATGGGCTTACAATGGAGTTTTCTGTCAGTTGAAGTAATTTGTAGACAACAAAACAGGTCACATAAAGTTCAAGAAATGTGTCAGGTCAGAAGCTGTCCCCCAAAGCAGAATAAAACTGGTGATGTTATAGGTATTACTTACGGTAGATCAGGCAGCACTTTGACTTGGTTCTGCTTATCGCCATTTAGCATCTGTAATGTCCTTTGAGACTCAGGGCATGGCTGTTGCCCTATTTTCTTTTTCTTTGCTTTGTGTTCCTCTGTCTCACGCATCCCTATCTCTCGCAAAGCAGATGAATAGGAACAGACCTGTTGCAAAAGTAACATTTTATAAATGCAGAAATTTTCTTTTGTTACTCTTGCTGCAAAGCAGTCATCTTTATCCACATGTATCCATCTATATTCTTGATGTATATATGTTTTTTAAAATCTGATCCCTGAATGATTGTACATCTAGATTGTTTCAGTTTGTCTTTTGCATTCCTTTTCAACGTTTTCGTAATTCACTCTTTACACTGGCCTCAGTGAGTGGCTTGTGTCTGAGAAAGAAAATGGGAAGTTCTAGGCCTCTCTCAGGTTTCTGGCAGCTGAGAAAACCTGGATCTCTTTAGCTGGATATAAGACTTGAGTACAGTAAACTGACTTTCATGTATTAAAACAAAGTAGTTACAGACTTCCTGCTCCCAGGGAGCAATTTGGTTAAAGACAGACTCACTCCACTCCTTCATCTCTTCTGAGATGAGGGGTTGGATTAAGTCTTTGAGCATCGCAAAGGCAGTAAGCCAGTTATCCCTCAGGTGCTCTCTATTAGGACAGCCTTGGCTGTTGCAGATGTTAGCTTCTTTCCAGTAACACAGAGCTTCAAATCCACTTACCCTGTCATTTTAAAAAGTCATCTAAGTTTCTGCCGTTTGGCAAAAGCGTAAGAAAAAAAGGCCAGTGAGAGGGATTCATCAAACACTTAACGATTATATTTGAAAAAGGCATTAAGGAAGGCTTTGAGTATTTAGCAGTTCACTGTAGATCTTGCAAGCAATGTACAGTAGGTGAGGAACACCTTACTTGCACCTTCGCTGCATATTTACCACCAGGGAGCTGTTGAACTCAGAGAAAAGCCAAGCAGATAAGATGCTGTATGAGAAGAACTGGAAAAACTGAAAAGTTTTTACTGTATGGAATGAGAAAGAAGACTTAGTCATACTAAGGAAAACAACAAAAAGCACATAGACTTTTTCAAGCACTGTAACAATATTTAAGTAGTTGCAGAGAGTGATCAGTAGTCATGGTGATACTGAAAGTAGCAATTCTGCCCTGTATGAGGCAATATACATCAAATATTAGTATGCAGTTGGTTTATGATAAGAATTCTGACAGTCTTTTCTTCAACCTCTGTTTAAATGTGCTGTATTAAGAAACAATGACCTCTCTTCACAATAAATTCCTGAAAAATTTAGGAAAACTTATGTACGGGAAATGTACAAAGGTATAAATTTGGTTTTTTGTGACCCTACCTGTAGAATACAGACAAATTGCTATGGATTCCATATTCTGTTTAGTATTAGTGTGAAGATTACTGAAATGAGACTCTAAATTAGGGGATGACATTACCATGTGATTGCCCTGATTTGCCTGCATCCTGCCAGCAGTCATGAATTTCTTCTGCAGCTTTTACCATATTTTTCCTCACCAACTATCACAAATTGTGATTTGAAGGCAGGCAAAGGTTTGCGAGTAGGAGAAAATTTCTAAGAGAAGAATTTCATGGGAATACACTGAGAAAATCTTCAATGTAACAATTGCCTGGACCTATCTCTTCAAAAACCCTGAAGGAAAAGGTAGCTGAGAAAAATCACACTATATTTGGCATTCTCCTTAAGTACCAATGCAACACTGCAATCATTATATGAGGGATTATTTTTAAAAGCTTTCACTGTTGTTGCATTTTTTCACTTTCATGATAACTGCATGTAAACAGATACCAGGTGTGAAAAATCCTCTGGCAAGAAAAATCTGGACCCAGATGTCAGGCAAAGGAAAATTTAAATGTATGGAACACATGGAAAGACAATGAAGGCAACAAGCATGACCTTAGACCACAGAGAAAAGATATATTTCAAGACATTTATGAACCAAATTACTTGTAAAATACTAAAGTGTGATAAATTTTTAAGGAGTTACTTACTATTTTCTGAAGAGAAAGAGGTTCTGTAGAAACAGTAATATTCCTTTGTAAACACATTTGTTTGAAAATTGCTTCGGCAACAAACAGTTGAAGCCAGTCGGATGGTATGGCACAAAGAAACATTTTTAATTGACATACAGAAAAATCTGGATAAAAGCAATTGGAGAAGAATAAGTAAGCCTAAAAATGAAAATACAGAAATCTACACACCTAGTTATCTAGAAGATAGATCTTCCAAGCTTTTTGCTCCTATTGCAGATGCAGAAACTTATTCTCCTCAAGAATTACTAAAATTCTTAACATGAAAATAGATTTTAACCATCATCTGGTAAGATGACAAGATACTGAGAGAAGGTTAAATGTATTTTAGAAGACAAAGCATCACTTTTTGTGTGAAACTTTTTAAAATGCTCTTAATACAATGTTATAAAAGTTATGGTTTTATTTTGAGAATAAAATTTTTTTTTGTGAAGTTCTACAAGTGATCACCTTCTAAAACTCGAAGAGACACAAATTCAGGTAAGAGTTATAACACATGAACAAGAAATCTGCAAATAATGCAGGTGACCTACAAGCTCTACATAAAAAGTCACCATAAGCAAACTGCAACCCCATTCAAATGCACCAAATTGCTTATACTGTTTGAAACAATGCCCCACAGAGTGGCAGAGAAACTTACATATCCATACAACATACATCAGTATGTATCAGGCATATGTCTGACCTACCTCTGCTTTGGAAAAGAAGACAGAAAGACTGATTTTTTTTTCTTACAGTGGTAAGAATTTGTATTTTGATTCTAAGAAAATAATTTTGTCAAAATAACAACTGAAATGGTTGGAAAGTAAGACCTGCAGTGAGGAAGGAAATCTTTACTGTATTGGGGGAATCTTCTGTTCTGCTAAGAAGTGCTCATAAATTAACTAATCTGTAGACTCAAGCAAAAGTGAAACCCAAGTTTGAGAATACAGATGTTTGCTACTGTAAGTATAACTGAATTTAGAAAAACTTGCAGTAGTTTTGCTTTGAGTGCTGTGGATTGTACCAAGTGGCACAGGTCAAATAATCTCTATAAACAGACTGAATCCTATTCTTGTTTTCCCTTTTGTATACAGGAAATTAATGAAGTCTCACAGAAATACTTATCCAAGATTTTACCTATTATATGAGGGCTACAAAATCCATTGAAGTGATACATATTAAAAGCTCCACTAATTTAAACACCATGAAGTTCGAACTGAATTGGCCTTCTAAGAACTAAGTCAGACTGTAAAAGTTCTCATAATTTGCTTTCTGTAAAACTGGAGTGAAACAAATTGTCCAGAGATTAAGATTTTAGTGTAATTTCTTTTCATTATGGTTCTTCCCGAGTGTCCAGGTAGAAGGCAGACACAATTTAAATGAAGCTTACATATACCTGTTACCACATAAAGAGATGATTGAAAAAGGAGTCAGGGGAAGCTTTGGTGGGAAATAATTTTGAAAACTAAATTAAAATAATTCAATACTTTCTTGAGATAATTTTGTCTTGCAAGCTCCTCAAATCCTTGCGGCTAAAAGTACAGATACTTCAACTGACATTCCATATTAAATGATAATGGTTATTTGAGTCATGATGTTTCTGTTTACCTAGTCTATTTAATGAGGAGGAACTACAGTAATTCATGGGACTCGATGGAATTTTCTTCCATTGCCTCCATTAAGTCCAAGGATTTGGAAGAGACATTGAAATGTTTCATTTGAAGTTGTAGGAGTCAAACAGTTTGCTGTAGGTTTTAGACTTATGACTGAAGTGTCTTTAGCAAGCTATTCATTTTCTGGAATGATAAAATTTGCCTGAGCTAAGTAAAGTGCCTCCAATTGCCTGTCTGAATTTAAGTTTTATTACGATATGCTTAAACTTCTCCTAGGCTGACAAGAGAGCTCCAAAGACTTTTTTCTTCCTCTGACTGTGTGGTCTTGCATTCAAATCAACATTTAGACATTTATTTAAAAGGGATTTTAGTAAGAAAACCTGTTCTATTTGATCTTTGCTTGACACTGACAGACAGATACAGAATAAAATGGCTTCCTGCATATGCACACACCATGCAGTGCACAGCTGCAAAACAGGGTAAAAAACTATAAACCAAGGATTTTAATTAGCATCTGATTAGAAGAATTTTGAGAGGCCTTGCAAACACTCACCATCACATGAAATAGCAAGGTAATGCGCCAAATCAGGCACTTGATGAAACACATTTCTGTCCATAAGCAAACCTGAGATGATCCAATAGTCCACTACAGTTCCAAGAATTGCATTTAACAGACCAGCAACTTCACTTCTGAAAGCCTAAATGGAAAAAAGCATAGATGTATCTATTGATCTGTAATATATAAAAAATTCAGACTGATAATATACTAGAAATAACATAGAAAACTTCCTTAGATAAAAGCTCACTCTGCTGCCATGTCACTCCTTCACTGGCCTTTCTTCTGCTGAAAAGCTACCTATTGCAGCCAGATCACCAAAATTAGTGTCACTGATGGCATATCAATTAGGATTTGGCACTGGAGAAAACCAGGTTCTATGAAATCATCTACAAGTATATGCAAAATGGTGGCAAAACTTACAATTGCAATGTGATTTCTTTTTAAATTAGATTTTGTTTAACCATAAGATTGCAAGTACTGCACTTATTCCACTGAACCTTGTGTTTAATTTGACAATTGCAAGGATCTTTTTCTCCCTGCTCTATTAGTATTGCCTTTTTCTGAAGATTTCATCATGAAATAAAGCTCTTTTTGTGACTATGTATGTCTGTGCCAAAAGGGAAAAGTATGCAAAGTGTTAGTTTCCTCCACAGAAAAAATTTTGGCAGTCACTTTGCAAAAGGAAACTTTCTTCAGCTATCAAAAAATTCAATAAGATGAGCAGCTGCAAATTTAGGAAAAAAGCCATCCTTCTGAATATTAGCTATACAATTTTCTACCTTGAACAGGCAGACACACACATGCACAAAAAAAAAAAAACAAACAAAGAGAGAGAGAGAGAGAGATTATATCTATATATATGTATCCTTATGGGTCCATTCCAGCTCAGCTTATTCAGTGATCCTGTGAAAATGGTCATAAACAAGTAAAGAAAGGTGAAGTGTACTTTCTTCAAGAGGCATCAAGACACGGAATTTAGCTATCCAGACACCTCATTGAGATAGATGAATGCATTTTTCACCCATATGAGAAGTTAATCAATACTGGTCAGGTAAAGCAGTGTTTCTAATGTTTGAGTTAGTCTTTGCAAGGTCACATCTATCTACATACCTTTCTGAGCCATAGCAGAAATACTTTATAAAAGTTACTCTGAGATAAGTTATTCCTCTGATCACATGTACCACCAGATGTTTTGAAAGCATAGCTTGAAAGAACACAGGCACCATAGTAGGAACACATGAAATTAATCTGACTGAGGGCTCTACCACAGATTTACTACAGTTACACTAGAGCACCAGTTGACATATGGCATCTTGTGAAAGATAATGAGTACCTGAAACTGGACAATTTTGGGTAACAGACAAGCCAGACTTAATGGGTACATACTACAGTCAATGATTTGTCTGATACTCCTTTGAGAAAAAAAATACGTTCAAGGTTGGTTTAAAATAATTTACTAGGATTCCTTAGGAGCTGAAAAGCACAAAACTAGTTTGAGCATCAATATATCAAACAGACCTACATATGAAAAATGGAGACAGATAATAATAAAAATATTATAAAGCAATTTGTTGAAAACTACACAAATACTGTCCCTACAGTTAACAGTTACTTGTCCCTCAAAAGAAAATAAATGAACACAACTACAAATAAACACGGTGTGGGGTGAAAGCATAATCTCCATCACTCCAGATTTTTAAGACTGGCTGGACAAAGTCTGTTATGAACGTCATCTCTGAGACTGCTTCCAGGCCTACGTCCTCCTACTTTCTCAAACTCTACTTGATTTGGTTTGCCCTTTCCTTTATTATGTCATAATGCTTTAATATAGATGAACTGTGAAATCTCATAATGAAAAAAACCCTGAGAACACAGATATGGCATGTCAAAAACCTGAAAGTATAATTTTTAAAATAAGTTTAAATATTTAAAAAGGTGCATTTGCACTATCTTCTGAGGATTTAGGAATAGAAGCTGAAGAATAATTTAAAATATCTGAAATGCATTTAAATTTCCCTTAAGTATGTATATCTCTTTATCACTAGACCCCAAAGCGAAATACTGGGCGAATAATATAATTCCACCAATAGTTCTTTACCAGAAATAAATTTCACAAACACAGTAAATAAGCACTATTTTAACAAAAGTTAAGTGACAGGATCAAGGACATATAGATGTAATCTGAGGTAGATAGGGATGTAAAACACAAGTACTTACATTCTCTTTATGGTTTCTAAATCACTACCTTAACTAATTCCTTCATGAAATACTTTTAAAAAAGGGGTGGGGGTGAAAGCAGACATTGAGAGAACAGACTAAAATAATGACTGTTAATACTGCAAGTATTGATAATTTTTCACAGTCAGATATATAGTGAATATTAAATGCAGCTGGTAATCTAGCTGCATCTATATTTGCCCAGCCAAATATCTGCATGCTGACAAGATAAGCCAGATACTGCCAACTAATGTAGGCTTAGTTGGCATTTTTGTAAAAGAATAGTAGGACAAACCAAGAGCTTCTCCTCAGTATTTAAAATAAATAGTTCAATGCTACAAATGAGAGAGGGAAATTCGCCTAATTTCCTGAAAGAACCATATGTTCTAAAAATGTTTAAATGTTAACATGTTAGAAGTATTTTCAATTTTAACCACAAAACAACACACAGTAATGAAAACATATGCAATAACAATACACAGTAATGAAAACATATGTAATATTAAAAAGGAAAAAAAAAAACCCAAGCATTTCCATTTAACTTGGAATTTGCTACCATGTATGACAGTGCCAAGACCTCTTTTTCCCTACTCTGCTCCTAGATCAAGAAGCTGGGAGGGGCATCAGCCGAGACAGATGACACAAAATGACCAAAGGCATTCTGAACACTGTGCTCAGCAGTAAACGCTGCATTAAGGAGGAAGGGAGAATGTCTGAAGTGATGGTGTTTGCCTTGCCTAGCAAATGCCATGTCTCATGAAGCCCTGCTTTCCAGAAAGTGACTGAACATCTGCCTGCTGATGGGAAGCACTGAATGGAATCCTTATTTTGCTTTGCTGGTGGTTAAGTATTTGTTTCACTTATTAAACTGTCTTTATATAATGTCATGCATTTTTTAATTTGTCCTTCTGACTCTCTCCCTCAACCCAATGCAGGATGGGGACTTACCTGCCAGCAGCTGAGACTGACCCACTACACCATGTACAGCTAATTAAGTAATATGCAGTGAAACCTCTTTTCAAAATTCTCTTCCTTGTTCTTATTGTTGAAAATCAAAGCGATCTCACTAAGAAAAGCATAGAAGTGGGAAGAAGCTATTGACTGTGTTAGCATACAAAGGTCACATCACTTCAACTGATATCTGTTAGCTTAGCAAATGCAATTCCTACATTGTGGTTCCATTTAATGCTTTGTCAAGTCAAATACAGTGCTACGGTGGCAGAAGTTTCACAGTGTGTTTTTACACATGAAAGTTCTTATAGGAAAATTAATTTCAACTTTTTTTACTTTGAATTACTGAGTTATTTTAGAACTCTAAAGAAGAGGGTTTTTTCATGTGCTGTAAATGTAGTACTCCACAAATGCCTAAAACATACTTCCAAAAAAACTACTGCAAGTGACAGACCAGAAAGACATTTGGTTCTACACCACACAAATTTATACTATGCAACTAAAAACCTGAATGAATGCCTTTGTCACCTCTTTGTCAGGCTATGTAAGACAGCTTTTTTAAAAAAATCCTCACCAGTATTTTCAGGGATGAAAAGCATTTCTGATACCATCTGTGACATTGTGAAAAACCATGCAATAGCTCAATGCAACTAGAAGTGTTATAAGCAAAATACACATTTCTTGGTAAAATCTAAAACTGAATTAAGAAATTCGATTCAAGGAACTTTAACCAGGAGCTCCCCCATCAAACCCATTTAAGTAATATAACAAACAATATATGTTAATTAATTTTAGAATGATATTAAAAATTGATTTGATGAGCTCAAATAATAGGAAATATTTTAGGTTCTTTGGCAGTGCCTTTTTAACTACAAGAACAGTCTATCAATATTATTCCACCATGTTGTCCAAACAGGTTAACCCAACAGGTTAATCCAATTTCCTGTCACTATTTTTATTCTGCTACTTCTAAAATAGGGCATATTCTATCTAACTCCAGAAAACAAATGCACTCAACTTTATGCTTTGTTTTTCACTTTGTTTTGGACTGCTCTTTTTACATGGTATGTTTACACACATACATAATTTTGCAGCAACTCAGCACTAGAAGAGAGGAAACATACATAGATATTTTCCCTGCACTCCAGCGCTCTTTGTTGCAATCTCTTTGAATCACAAAAAGAGAGAATCTGATCCTAAAAAGCTAAAAAAATTAATAATGGCTCTTTCTAATTTTACCAGTTAGAAAATATTGTATTAGATATGTTCAAAGAAAGAATTTAGTAAAAATTATTCACCTGTTTCCACTTACAGATATTTTTGCTGAAAACCTGTACAGAAGTTTGGTATATCAAAACATGGATGTTTGTTTCTTCCCACAAGCTAACACACTTAGGTGCACTGAAAAATATGGTCCATCACCCCTTTGAAATGTGCTACAAACCACATGCAGAGAGTAACAATATCCAAAATAATTTCTTTCATTTAGCTTTCTGAATGGCCCTACATGCCTCTTGTCTAGGTGTTACCTCTTAAACAAACAGTTTTTATGAAACAAAACTGGTAACAATGACTCACACCCTCAAACTGAAGGACAATTTTGCACCCTGCATGCTACCTCTAATGACATGGAAATACTGTGTATTTATTTATGTATCTATGAAATTACAGAAAAAGGAAGGAAAAAACACAGTTCTGTCTGCACAGCTAGGGAGGTTTCACTCTTCTGATTTTCTGAAAGACAGTTCAAACTGTGTAATGGAATTTTAAAATTAGTTTGAAAATACAGAAAAAAATCAAGATATATATATATATATATATATATATATATATATATATATATATATATAAATAAATAAGATTGAGAGTGAATGAAAGGACAAATGAGTTGGATTGTAAAAATACGGTATTTTAGTTTAGAATTTATTTTTGTGAAAAATGCAATGGGAAAGAAAAAGCAATAAATAAATAAATATGAGGAACAAAGCTGTTAGACAAAACATAATACACTACCAATATTAGGAGGCAACAAGCTTCTTTTTAAGGCTAGAATTCAACTGTGTATGATAGTTTACACTACAGTGTGTAAGATCAAAGTAAGAAAGCAATAGACATCCAGGATTTGTGCTGAAACAACGATTCTGATATATATGTATATAGAGCAAATAGAATCTAAACAAGAGACAGATCTCTGTGGTTTATGTTGTGTGTGGGGATTAAGCTTATTTTTCATATATGTAGTACAGTCTGACAGAAGTGATTATTCTGCCAATGCAAAGGTTTATGAGAAAGGAATGGTTTACAGTGCTGGAACCTGTAAAAGGAAGGCATAGCAGAAAAAACTAAATGGTACCTCCACTTAAACTGCAGATTCAAAACCAGGAAAAATATGAAAGCAATGTCATTTTCCAAAGAAACAGAATGGCTACTGACACCAACTGCATGTAAGCCTGCTTGCTGCTCAGTACCTTTGAAAAGATAGGTTGCTTAAATATAAATATGGGTATAGAAGCCTGATTTTAGGCACTTTTTAAATATCTTGACCGAGGATAAAAAGCAGCACTGTTTCACAATGTCTTGCTTTGATAGCCCTCAAAAAAGGTAGGAGGTCTGGCTAGGTAAGATGATTGAAGCTCTCATTATGTTTAATCTTTTTGCTTTCATAGCATAATGAATAACTACTTGGTATTATACTGAAAGTGCTTTTTTTCTCCCTGAAATACTTGATTTTCTATTGTTCTGTTACTGTATGGGAAAAGTGAATGGAGTACCTATTTATTCTGTGCTCTCACAATAATTTAAAAGAGAATGCAGAGACAGCAGTTAGGTTTTATTTTATGTGAGAATCTAGAAGTCAAAGATGTTTTACAAGGCCTCTTGCTTCTGAAAAGAAATAGGTGGTATAGAGGACACTTAGTATCTTTCAGGTCAATGTCCTGCTGGTCAGCAGGTCACAGAATAGCAATTAAGTTGCTTCAATTCCATTTTTATGCTAAGTCCTAGGAAATATTCCAAATGAAACTAAAAGACTTAGAAAGAAAACCAGGGCATTCTATTACAATAAAACAATGCATACCTAGCAAACAACAACAAAAAAAAGTATTAGTTTTGTTAGGTTTCTCTTTCAAACGTTTCCTGAATCCTGTCACTGTAAAATAAGATAATCACTTCTTTCACTACACCATATTGTTTGAGAGAACAAGCTGGTGTCTGTAATAACTACAGTAATACCTGCTGGTAAGGGCATGTGAACATCTGAATGTAGCCAACAAGCTACTCAGGACTCGTTTCTTCTCTACATATCTATATAAGAATCTTATGGATCAATTCATTTCTTTAGTGGAGCAAAAACCAGCACGCTTCACAACAAAAGGCCGCTATAACAAGCAGCTGTTATACTTACATATAATTCCTCACAAAAGAATGAACAAAGGGACACCTTTAAAAATATATGTCAGTCTTCATTATTTTAAAGTATAAAATTCACACTCACATCATTTTTTCCATTTAATTCTCTATGGGAAAATACGACCCAATCTGCTAGAATATTTATGTGTTTGGTAAAAAGCACTGCGGTTCCACTTTCAAGAAAGAATGTCTTCAGAAGAACTGTCTGTGGCAAGGCTTGTTGATGCTGTGAATTCGTTCCTTCAACCAAACTGAAAAAAAACAAAGTGAAAAAAATCTAAAGCTTTATGTCACTTTGATTATTATAGTTACCACATAGATTTGGCAATTTTTAACTATGGAAGGACCAGATACAATTTCTGATGCAGTGTAAGTACAATGATGATGACTATTACTATTATTATTAGACCTGGGGAATTCTAATAATGTGCCACTACTTACATAAAGTAAAGGCCACCATTTCTATAGAAAGGCAAAGCAAAACCTAGACTTCTTTTATACTTCATGAACCAAAGAAAAGTAATAGTCTCCCTAAGATAACACAGAGATAATAGTTATTGAATTTTTTAAAAAAATCAAACATATACATCAGTATATTCAAAATGCTGCTTGTCTACCTTAAAGAATGAATAGCAAAGTACTGCAAATCTAGAAGTACCACTTAAAGAGCAAAATTAAATGCGTCCTGGAATAACAATCAGGAAAAAGAAACATGTCTTAAAACACGATTATAAAAAAAACTAAGAATTTACAATCAAACAAGCTAAGAATTGAGAAATATAAATAGAATTGCTAAACTGCTTTCTAGAACAGTATCTTATCAAGGATATATACAAATCAGGATACAAGCTGCTATAAATAAATGAGTGCATGTATTATTCTATAAATCCCACCTTTTTGTCAGAAACTCTACTTCGCCTTTTACTAAATCAAAGAAAAATTTCAATAACGTTTTATGAACTATCCTCAGTTCATCTTCTGTCCCTGAAACTGTGACCGTATGACAAGCTGTTTCACAATAAAGGCAAGACCTTAAAAAAAAAAAAAAAGAAAAATTCTATTTGTATGACAGAAATAACAGATAATCTATTGGCAAAAAAGTCAGCTTTGAATCTGGTCTGTTTTGACTAGGAAATAGTTTGCTCCCCAGTAACAGACAACAACATGTTTGTGACTGAGCTTCTGTGTTCCAGGTGAAGATTTTGTATTATAGAGTAAACAAAATAATTTCACTGGATTTCATTTTTCTGTTTCTACTTGAGATATTGTACAATTACTATATTAAACATAACTTATTTGAAATCCTTTAAATACAAGATAATTTTGGAGTATTTCGTAGACATGGTAACATCCTTCTGTTCAGGTAATAGTTCATATGTACTACTTGACACGACTACAGATTGTCAAACATGATGCAGATAATTCTGAAGTAACATGCAAACATAATTTTTGTCCAGAATTTTGAGTACTAGAACCAGGTATACAACTCCTGGGTATTCCCATTCTCCAGGAAGTACTAAAAGACAAAATATTTCATCTAAAAGACAAATTCTCTTTCATGTTCTTCAAAATATGCTTACAATCACAGACATTCACACATCTGTAATCATACTTGTATCAAAGTATTTAAATATTACGTGAGGTTTTATCATAGCCACAAGAAGAGCTGTAGTTTCTTTTCCAAATGAAGAATTAATTTCTGTTGATGCAAATTACAAAAAGTAAGTTCTCATGATAAAGCAGAGACTAACTATCCAAACTTGTCTTTCTAGATGTAGACAAGATAAAATCAGACATCTTGAAAAAGATGGTAAAGGTTATGTTTAAAATCAAACACGAAACTTCACATTTGGTAAGATAAGCCTTGAGTTTGCTTTGTAACTGCAGATATATGTGTGTGTGTATGTTTATATGTATACACACAGCAGCAGCAAGAGTATACAGATTACTATACTCTGTAAAGAGCGTAAGAAATAATTTTTAAAAAACTAGTAAAGCTAAGAAAATGTACTTATTTTTCTTTCAAAAAATTTCATCTGCCTGTAATGAAATGTGAAATGACCAAATCTGCTACAATTCTAGATTGTCACATACTGGTAATGTGTTCTGTTGTAAAACAGCACGTTGTTGCAATAGAATGCCCTCTCTCCTCTGCTGTCTTTGGGTTTGGAGTAACATAACTATTGCATTTGGTACCTCATTAATCTTCCTTACCTTACAAGTATCTCTATCAAGGACCATGTACCTTTCTTACAGATAGGACACTGAAGGAGATCTAAGTAATACTTCAACATCAATGGGGACTTCCAGGGAGGTTCACAATGAAGAGCAAGGTAAAAAACATGACAAAGTTTGGCAAAAAATATTGTATCAGTGTTTCCCTGTAAAAAAATGAGAAAATAATATTGGCTCCAGGCCAGCCAAAGATCTATATCTATATTCACTAACAGTTAATTTATTCTCTTTAATCTTTACAATCTCAAGTGACCACATTTAATCACTAAAATAACATATAATTTAATGTACAACTCCAAGGAGAAAAATACACAGTGAAATTTAAAAAAAAAATAGGGAAGAGAAAAGGGAGAACTTGCTCTAATGTGATATGCTAGTCGAATGCACCACTGTTTAGAGCAAACCTTGTTCTCAATCGATCTCTCTATCCGTAGCGTACCAGCATAGTGCTGTTTCTAAAAGTAACAAAAAATATTTCTGGCCAAGCCTTCCAGAATATTTAGAGCATTACATTCATCTGGCTTGCAAATAAATACTAATTTGAAAAAAACAAACATATTGATGAGCACAAAAAGAAGGGTGAATGGATCACTAAGAACTTCTAAACACTATGTCAGAAGCAAAGATCATAATACTTCCACTTATTTATTTTTAATACTACTTTAGTCTTAATCTCTCACCAATAGGACATATTTTAGAAGAGGATGAAGAAGTTGCACAGGAGGTGCACTGTACATTTGGCCTGCAGCAAGTTCTGTGACTACATCCTGAAGTAAGTCCTCTTCCACTAGTCCTTGAAGTATAGTCCAAGTGCCCCTGGCCCAGACAGGACTTTTAACCTAGAAATGAGATATCATTGTGGGTAAAAAAAAAAAAAAAAAAAGCTTACATTAAAAAACCTTTTAACCAACCAAGTTAACTAACACAGGATATCCCTAACTAAAAAGTTGGTATTATATATCCTGGTTCCTGATAGGACAGAATTTATTCTTGCAGTAGCCACAGGGGATGCGACTGAGACATGGAGGTTATTCTATACCACCTTACATCCCTGCCAGGGCAGCGGGAAAGGGACTCTCATTTCCAAGCAGGAGTCCTTCCAGTCAAGAATACCTTAATGGCACAGGACTTCCATCTTATACTCTGCCACTCATGACAGCAAAACTCCTAACAGCTTTCAGAGAACCCAGACAGATGCAATAGCTTCCATGAGATGCTGTATTCACTCTGCAATTTCCCTGTTTCTATCTGTACTTTCAGCTCTCCAAAGATCACGAATTAATGACACTAATGAGCTACTGAAGGTCTCAGGTACATTGCTATTTACATCTTTCCTCTAGTTCAGATTCAAGCCAAAGCTGATGCCCAAGCCAGTTGCAATTGTACTGCTGAGTGAAGCACGACTTTCTTCTGCCAGGTAACTGCTCTTTTGAAATGCAGCTTTTTTGTCTGACCATACAGCCTGAGGCTCAGTAAACTCAAATTTCTCCTAATTCTGAGATAAGAGGCACAGTTGAGAAAAGCTGGGTCAGACTGATTGGGCTGTTGGGAATTAAAGAGTTACATAAATTTATTGTTGCTTTAGTCTCTGGTAACTTGTAGACTTTATGATCTCTGCCAAAAATCCTGTCTCCTAATGGGCATTAATAGAACAGTTCAGATAGAACTGTTATAAGAACACTGAGTCCAACTATTAACAGCACTACCAAGCCCACCACTTAACCATGTCCATAAGTGCCACTTGTACTCATCTTCTAAATCCCTACAGGGATGATGACTCCATTACTGCTCTGGGAAGATTTTTCCAGAGCTGGACAACCCTTTGCAGGGAGAAATTTTCCTACTATCCAATCTAAATAACTTACTAATTGTTTTAGTATTAGTTTATATTTTAAATTGACAGAGATTTTGAGTCCAGTTGTGGATTAGAAGTCTAAAGAATATACTGTTATTAGATAGCTACCAAAAATGTTCCAGTAATAAGACAAAAAACAATAGGAGCTCTGTTCAAACATGAAAAAAATTCAGAAATTATAATCATGGTTAAATCACAGCTAAAATCTCAGTGAATAAACTCCACTTTAGCATTAGATATTTTGTGTCTTGCAAATGGCTCGTATCTCAGGTTCCTAATGTAAGCCATTGTTACATTAACAATAAATAAAGCTGCTCATGTAGACAATTTTCTTTTATTCAAGTCTTTGTGCATCTGGTGTTTGCAACTCACATTTATTTCAATCTTCTCATTCATATATTAACTATTAAAATCTCCACTAAGATTTCCTTTGGAAATAAAGGTTGCATTCATACTTTTGTAATGTTAATTACATGCAAACAGCACATCTAAAGAGCAATTGTGAACTGTTTAATGACAGTTAAAGAAGAACAACTTGGACACCTGGATTTAGGATGTAAGACTGTATTTGGGTTGTACAAGCATGTTACCACTGACCTTCACTTGGTGATCACACTAGGATCCAGCTTCATATATTGTGACTGAAACTTTTATTTACTGAAAGTTCTGTACTAGAAGAAACAGTATCATTGATGCATTATTTTGAAAAAACACTGAAATAAAGATGTATTGGGAAGACTGAGGTACATTTTGCATAGCATTCAAATCAAAGAGAAACTAGAGACTGGTTCATCACATTTCTAAGAGGTAAAGAAGGATGGTACAAAACTGAGGCAATAAACTTTTGTCAGTATCAGGAGACCTATTATTGAAGAGACTTAATACTCAATAAGCTGTCCAAGCTTCACTGGCTTGCACTCTGATGAGGAATCAGAGTTTCTTGCGAAGCACTGCTGGTGCAATCATTAGCATTTTGAGCAGAAACAAATGAAATATGACAACTGACAAAAGAGAAAAAAATATTTTTGGGATGATGATGAAACAGAACACTTAGCTCTGCTAAGCCTTCCTAGCAGATGCAAATTGATATGACAAAATACAATAGGCAGATCTAACATGTTCATTTAGTTTGTAGGTTTGATTTTACTTCATTAGTGTTATTGGAAATGTTTACTGGAGCTGCTTCTAAAAGTCATAAATATACTTATGATAGAAGACACACAGCATATAAAGGCTAGCAGTGGATATTCCATAAAGCAATAAGAGTGACAGAACAGTAAGAGAAGTATTAGGCTTAAAATTTTCAAGCAAAAAATGATATTATTCTTAAGAGTACAGAAAAACAATTTCAGCTTACATGTTTTAAGAGAGGTAATTTTTTATCCAATTAATTCAATAAACTACACACTAAGATTAAATTTCAATGCAAACCTTTTGCAGAACAGAAACACACATAGCACTTAGATCAGTGATGGTGCTGGACCATGACAAAAGTATTTTACTCCTCATGTTTTCAGAATAATTTTTTTCTCCTTCCTTCTTTATTGTCAATAGAAAAAAAATCAGAAAAAGACTGGCTTCAAGTAACTATTTACGTAGAATGGCTCATGAAGATACCAGATCTTCAGTTGCCAAGGAATACAGGAAGCTAACACATAGTTTAAGTGTTTCCCTTTTTTAACTTTTAAGCAACACAAGTTACCATATAAAATGCACTACTAGTAGCTCAAGGCCACACAGTTTTTGAGTACTAAAGAGGCAATGTTTCAACATTATTTATAGATTTATTCTTAGTATCATAGATAGACAAGGCAAAATTTTAAAAGTACTTATTTACTTCAGGTATTTATAACAAAGACTTAATAGAATCTATTGCTGACCTGTTTTACAGCATTTATTTGGCTTAATGGAAATAAAAAAGAGAGTACAGTACAAGAAAAGGAATTAAGTCAAAGTGATTATGAAAACAGGACTGGAAAACATAAAGCATTCTACTTGCAATCTGTGCTTCAGCTGACTCTGGAATTTCTCATGATGGAATATCAGGCATGTGCTGAAAGAACAAGTACTGTTTCTTTTTACAGTGAGATAACCTCTAGCTAAAATTTGTCCCTACTAGAAAAAGCAGTGCTAAAAATTGTGTACTCTCTCTTTATTTTACTGCATAAATACAGTGCTTGAGTAATTTATGATGCTCTAAATCACATTAGGACATCTTTCCTTTTTGACTTCCTAAAATTAATAAGTAAGGTTCTCTTAACCAGCAGGATTAAGCAGTTTCTTTGTAATAACAGAGACTGTACTAAAAGTACCACAGGGACAAACAACATTCAAGACCAAATTATTCTCTTTAATGCAACAATAACTTTATCAGAGTTTAGGATAGCCAAAATCTAAAACTATTTTTGATAACTAGTTTTGCTTAAAGTATGTTTTCCTAACTTTGTAATAAAATTCCATATGCATAACATGCCCTATTTTTAATAATTCTTACCTCTGGATTGCATTTGTTCAGCTGGTCTGTTTGCATAAATCTGTGCTTAATAGTCTGTAAAACAGAATAAAGTCAAGCTGCACACTGGACACCAGACAATATATTCAATAAACAGTGTATGATACTTCCCAAATGACAACTTCTGTTAAATGTAGTTCAAGCACAACCTAACATTTAGATTGGTCTTTTTAGATTTTTCATTTGGATGGGTGAATTATGAAGTACTGGACTAATGACTTATAAGGTATTAAATATAGCCAAATTTTCCTTCCCATTTTCCCATTCTCTTGTCCCTTTGTTGTTATGTGGTTGCTCTGTAAGGACAGTGTTCCTAGATTAGACATTAATAAACTAAAAATTTTCAGTTTTTCTGTGGCAAAATGCCAAATATGGACTCCTCTTGCATGCAAAAATATGGTCATAGGCGCAAAAATGTATTACTATTACAGCCATATTTAGATATTGCATAGTATTACAATGTTACTAAAATGTGTTACTAAAATATTCTTAGGAGAGACTGTCTTTGAAGGGTTAATCCAGTGGCACACTGTTATATAATAGTTTGAACCAGAGCATTTGCTGTATGTAAAATACATGAAAAGAATAAATGTATTTTTTAAATGTCTGGGGGGTATAGCCTTGAAAAAATGTCACTGATAAAAGATGCGGCATGCGATGATGATGCACAGATTAAACCAGCATGAGTCTTCTATTTGTAATCTTGTGTTTAAACATTGTGTGTACTTTTTGAGGACATTAAGTTTTTAATTCTTCCACTATTAAACTTACAGTGCTTCATATAAACAAGCTCCTACAAATATACTTCAACACCATCATCTGCATTTGCTGTAGCTTACAGAGATCATATATCCTAACTCAAGGCATTCAGTTGCTTTCTCTTGACTTGAAATAGAGCTGTTAACTACTAATGTAGCAATTTTATCAGGATTAGATCTGTGACAAGAGAAAACCACAGGAAAGCATTAGCTGCACTTTTGACTTGTAATAAAAAACATTCATGTGAGTCAACAAAACACTGGCTCTACAATATGTTTTGAAAAGTGTTTTAGCATAAGTTAGCTAGATAAGAGGAAAATCACAGAAAGACTGTAATTCAAAGATATCTTGTTCAACAATATTTGCTACTATTTACCTCATCTATTACACCAAGGCTTTAAGTAGTAAACTATGTCTTCTACACACCCATGCCAATGAATTGTCATGACTAAGTTTTATTTTAACTACTGGTAGATGTAGTAAATATGGAATTATTAAATACTGCAGGTTAAAAGGCTGTTAAAAGTTATGTCAAGTATCTACTTTATTAGCTCAATACTATAATGAAAGATAGAGGTTTTTAATATAATTCCTGCAATATAAAAAATATAAAATTGTATGTATATAAAATATATAATGCTATAACAAACTATCAACTGTTACTTACCACAGTAAAATACATATGTTTTATAATAACATTTTTCATTTCACCAAGTTGCATTTTAGGCAAGACTTGGTCTGTTTCTTGTGCAGCCAGGAAACGGTTCATCTCTGTATCTCTGGGATTTTGTATTTTATTCTGCAGAGCAAAAAAATAATACTTTGTTTCAAAGATAATGGTCTAACCAACTTTTATGTGCTTCTATATATTGTACTGCAAACTGTATGTGCCTTTGTATGTTTATGTCATCATATCATATGTCAAATAAAGAGCTGCTGGTTTGGAAACAAACCACTGTTGTTGTACGAAGTTACAGCACAGGAATTATCAAGGTGAGTTTCCCCATATTTATTTTTCCTACCTGACTTCAGGTAAAGTCACAATCTCTGTGGCTGAAACAAGGACTATTTCTCCATAACAGATTCTTTCTCAGAACTTTTCAAAAACTAAAACCAGAGCTCACACATTTTCAACTGGTTCAAAACATCGTAAAGATTTTATAAGGCACTTCTTAAATTTGTCTTTTCATATAATAGACCACTACAATGAAATCTTTTCAGTTCTTGCCTATAAACATGAAACAAATTAGTAATTTTAAATGTAAATTTAAAATGTAAAATTAGTAAATTAAAATGTTTTACTGTCTTTTTTTTCTTTGATATTTTAGTCTGGTTTGTATAGTAATTAATTCTCTTGAGTCCACCTATCATTTTCAGCCACTTCTTCAGCACAGGGAATGAAGAAGCATTTCTCAAATTTCTCTCAACTGCTTACTCTCAGTAACACCACAAATAACTTTTGCTTGAAAAAAATAACTATACAAAATATTTTGAATTTACTGAATGAGTTGAGAACATACATTTCAATAAGAGTTTCAATGCATGCTTTTCATCAAAGATACACAGGTTAAGAATAAAACATCATGTTTGTTTAAGGTAAATAAACAAAACCAGACTCCTCCTCCTGCAGTGTGATGAGTTAAGAATCATGAGATAGACACAAGTGAAGTATAGCCTTGGCCATTTCTCATTGTGAGCAGGTGTAGAAGGTTTGGTGTAACTTGCCTAATAATTCAAACACTTCAATCTGATGGGTGAATTGAGTCTGGGACATAACAGTAAAGAAAAAACACAGTAGTGCATGCAATGATAAGGTGCAATAAGTTTATAATTCCATGTTTTTAAGGAAAAGGTTCAGAAGTTACATGCCTCATCCTATTTTCAGATTTTCCCTTAAATGTATTGTTCAATACAAACATATTTAGCACATGCATAACATATCTCTAAACAAATACTGAGAACAAGAACTTCTTGCGCATTTCAAAAGAAAATGAAGTTTTTTTGTAACTAGAATAGACTTCCAAATAGCTTTTGATGAGCATGGATAACTGAACTCTGATGCATTAACTAGGCTTCACTTCTTATGGCCCTTCATGCATGTTAGTTTCAACACACTCATTAAAACACTTATATTCAAAAAATTTATAGTACAATCTTGGTAAAAAAATTAGAAACTCCAGCATGCATCCAAAAAAGCTTTTAAATTCACTGTTTAATTATGAGACTAGCTTCCTAAAAAAAATCATGCATGTGTTTTAATACCCTGAATCAATGAATTTGATGCCTTATAACATCATATAACCAATGACAATCTCACACAGTATTTTAACAGTAGACTTACAAGGTTAAGATAATAAGAACAGATACTGAAATATAAACATGAAGAAAAGACTTAGTTAAAAAAAAAAAATCACACCAAAAATACTCTGAACATCAGTGGAGTTTCAGTTGCCCTGGAAAGAATACAATGTTATTTTGCTAAATCCATCATCTAGACACATACATGGATGTTTAGGGGAGGACTAAGATTTATATTTGCTAGAAGCAGCAGTCAGATAGCATGACTATAAATTTATGAAGTTGGAACAATCTAATGAATAACACGTCAAGTACCCCAGAGTCTGAGAACTAAATGAATATTCTGAAGCCTTTGAATAGTTACAGACCAAAATACTAATAACTTCTGGGCAGTGCATCTGGTAAGCAAACAAGTATGAAACATGGGGCATCTCTCTTAAGGGAAACAGTAAAACAAAATTCTGGTTCTAGTGAATTCTGCACTAGCACAGGACCATGTCCATATGGCACCTGAAGACTCTGCAGCCTCTTCAGACAACGTGGTACAGTGTTCCATCAGCCTCACAGCAAGAAAACCCAAGTGGTTCCTGACTTTACATTTGTACTCAATTTCCTGTAACTGGGCACCACAGACAACCACCTACCTGTCTACTATGCATCCTCTCTTCAGGTATTTGTATATATTCATGAGCCTTTCTCTCTTTTGGATACATGGTCCCAGAAGCAGAAAGTTGTCTTAACTTTAATCGAATCACAAAACACTCTGGCTGATTATATTCCCCTCCATTATTGACACTGCATTATTTAAAGTAATCAATAAATTAGTTTACTTACTTGAAAAAGGTAATGTCCTATATATTGCAAAGGGTAATGCTGAGCTTCTGAGAGACACTTTTTATTTTGTAAAGGAGAAATTTTACCACCGATGAATACATGAGTTATATTGTGCTCTGCATTTTCACATGAACATATGGTTGCCTTTCCAGCTTTAAGAACTCTAAATAAACATAATCAGAAAGATGTATTTACTATATTATATTAACACTGCCTAAAGCTACAATAACATTCACAAAATACAGGCATGCAAGTGCAACTGAATAAGGCTTCTAGATGTATGGCACAGCACAAACTTCATTAGGAAGATAAAAGGGCACCTAATAGTCTTTGGAAAATTAAAGAACACACTTAACAAAATAGTCTCTTCAAAATTTAACACTAGTTATTCAAATAAATGTACACCTCCAATATATGTAATAGATAGTTTCACCTCTGTACCTATCCAAGTATCAAATGCGATGACAGCAACTATAATCTACTGCATTATCTATCCCAAAATAATGATCTTTTGGTTAAGTTTTCCTATAAATTAAGCAGTTAACAAAAAATGGCAGACTGCTTTTCTGAAATGTACTACGATATTTTTGTAACAGAAATACACATTTGCAGCATTAGTGCTGTCCAGTATCATGAAAGTATCACATACAGAAAAGAGATGTGCTCGTCTTTGGGGCACCATCATGTGTAACAGTTTCCCCAGGGACAATTTCCAGACCTGTTAAGCTACAAGCTCCTATTTCTTAGAAAAAATGCCAGACAAAAGAAAAGGTGGAAAAATAAAATTTAATGACATTCTGGATATAGGTTTTATTTTTCATAATCCAGATACATAAAAAGAAAAGGGTGCTGGTCTTACACACTTACCCATCCAACAGCTAGGCACTAAAGGCAGGAAAAGCACAGAAAGGGGATAAAAGGCACAGTATTGTTACATACTAGAAAAAACCCAGACTTTCCCCAAAGCTATAGTGTCCTTTATGACTGAAAGCAGTACCTGCTGAAGCCAAAAAATATCTACATATCACTGTTTTATGACTGACTACAAATTGAGTGCATGGGAAACAGTGTGTAAAACAACATATTTCACTTCTCTTACTGATGTTGTTCCTGTTAAAGGTTGTTTCTATTGCAAGAAATAGAAACAGACATCATTGTGCAAGACATCATTTCAACAGTGTTATCATGAACATCTACATAAGCAGTTTTTATGGAAAAAGAATCAGCATTTTCACAAGTGTAGCAGGACATAGTAAATCCTCCCACTCAGCCGAAAAACAGCATACTTAAAATATTTTCAGTTGGCAAAATCAGAAGATAACAACTTCAACTACCCCTCACTTTGTATTTATGAAGTACAGACAGACAGATAGTCTGTGACATAGCATATAACCCGGTACTATGATCCAACAAACTGCAATTCCCTTCTTGACTGTGGATCGGTGGCACACCCAAACCTGAGCAGTCCTAACTAACTGGGATATCAATAGGAAGCTGGACAGCATCTGAATGAATGGAAAGCTCTGAAACTATCAGATGCTCCTTTTACTGTACCAGACACAAACAGGACTTAAACATGCACTGATTTAAATTCAGGTGTAGAATTTAAAGTAATGAAACCAAATATGTAGGAAGAGTATGGAAAAGAAACATTTGTTCTCATCATTCTTGCACTTTGGTTTTCCTTATCTTTCTTTTTTTCCTTCTTTCCTTTTCTACTTCTCTACACTCACTTTCTAAACTATCTGTATTTATCATATTTCTGAATAATCTTAGAACAAATTACATCTTCAGAACTAGAAGAATCTATTACATAAATGTGACACAAACACTCATCAGGTCAGTAGCAGTGGTGCCCAGATCCATGAGACAGTCAGGTCATCTAGTCAAGTGAAATAAAGCATACAGTTCCAGCTACTATTTGAATATAACACACACACACACACAAAATAAAAACTGTAAATCTGTGTATCTTGCCTCATGAAGGAAGTTTCTGTTAGCAGCTTACTTTATAAAAAACGCATGCATGTTAATTTTAACACTATATTAAAAGAAGGCAAGAAAAGCAGTGATGTTACAGATTTAAAGTCATTATACAAGTACGGAAATATAATAATGAAAATAATTCAGAGTTTGGATAGCTGGAGGTTGTTATGGACCAAATTAACTGGGATGGAACTCCTACCTTTCAATACATGCCATTCGTTTATCACCTCTCTTAACAAGGAGGACAACTTTCCATCTGTGGAAGGCCCCTGGAGCACTAGAGTTTGTCAGTTCTTCACGCCATCTTTTAGGTGCAGATTGCATTTGAGGTGAATAATGGGTGTCTCTTTCAATTTCATATCCCCATTCGTACGTTGTTTCATCAAGCCATCTGCCACTTTCAGCACTATTAATTATGTACTCCTTAGTTAGTACCCACTTTCCTAAAAAGAAAATGAACTGTCAACCACAAAAGATTTTTTGTGGAGACAAATGGCAATCAACTGAAGAATTAATATAAAATTAACTTAAACATTTCTTGTGCAAATAAAAGATGAAATTATAAGGACAATTTAAAAAACTTCTTCCTATTACAAGAGTCCTCCACTTCAGACTCCAGAATCAAAAATCTCACAATGCCACTGAAAATGATCGCTTTGTTTTCTTTTAATCATTAAGTGTCTTTTTATCCTTCCTAGATGAAATACTTTTCTATCTCTTCAAAAACATCAAATACATTTTCTCAGCTTGTCAGATTTTGTTCTTAGGACTTTCACAGAACCTTGGTAAGTCCTTTATTTTTAATATCATTTGACACTTCTACAAATGTACTAAAATGAAGAAATATTTTACTACCTATGATTTAAAGGAACTAGACATTTAACATGTAAGTTCTTTCTCTTATATATTCTTAATATTACTTGCACTGCTAGTGTAGTGAATATCAATATTCGGGGGACACAGTTTTAGACTTTTTTCTTTCCCCTTTCTTCTTTTCACATCCTTTTCTCTCATCCCTTGGCTCCACCTCCTCCGCCTCTTCTCTTTCATCTTCCACATGTATGCTTTTGATATAGTATGTAATGATCTTCCCCTTTTCTGTGTCTCTCTCTCTCTTCTTACAGGTTCAGGTCAAGAGCACTGGTTAGTACCCTGCTCCTGTATTGAAACACTACCTACAGAAGACACTGTAAGGGAAATTGACTTGAATTGTGTGAACCTAATTGGTTTCACAGAACAGCAGGGTTGACTGACAAAATGTCTCAGTGCAGGAGCACAGATGGCACTTCTACAAAACCTAGTATAGGTACCAGTGGATTTATGACTGGAAAAGGTATGCTGTGCATGAGCTGGATGTTAAAACCACTTTCATGCAAAGTTTCCATCCAAAACTTCTGTCAGGTAGAAAGCACATGACAAGTGGTATCCTTGACAGTATTTCTGGTGAACTCTATGGAGTTCCAAATGTGTTTAAACATGATCTTTCTTCACTACCTGGAAAACAACACAGTAGGAATGAATACACTGTCTCTGCCGGCACGAGTAAGAGCAATGACTATGCAAAATTAGCACCTCTTCTGGATTAAGAAGTATTAGATGGTCTTGGAAAAGATTTGCACCTATCAAAGCATGACAGAGTTTTGCATCACCATGAGGACACTAGATGTACCGTTTCCACTCTGTTCAAGAAAATATCTTCAAAATTTAAACTTAAAAAAGTAAGAAAACATTAACTCAGAGGTTTAAAATTGCTAAAATGAAGTGCTGTGCCAGAAACTTAGATGCATTTTAATATTTTTTCCCCTCTTGGAAACTTTTGGTCTATTTAATTTTAGGTAAGATTGCAATCAGAATTTTATTTTAGTACAAAGAAAAATACATACATGTATATAAATATGGAAATCAAGGAATTTAAATATATCTTTAAACCCAAATGTATGTTTAGTTATTTTTCTATTATCTCTTAATTTAAGATTATCCATCCTAACAACTGCTTTAACACTTTAGAGTAATATGATACAGGGAAAATAAATATCATGCTTAAAAATGGTATTGTGATATCTCATAACTACAAGATACTCAAACTGCATTAAGAATTCTGACAGGTGATCAGTCTATAAAGAAATCTTAAAATACAGCGTTTTTCTTCTAAAACCATTTTAGTTGCTAATGCATGGGATTTGAGCACCAGACCCTAGTTAAAGAGGAAAGACCAGTAGCTTCTGTCAGAATGGCAACAGCCTGGAATTTTCTTTTGCTGCATAAGCAGGAACTTACAGTGACCTTTGCCAGTGAATGTTCCATGTACATTTATCGTCAAAAATCCAAGCTGACTACAGGTTCATACTCCCTCTGCCCTCTTTTAAGCATCCAAATAATTTGAGCATGACTTTATTACCTAACATATAACAAAGTGTTCTGTTTGGGAACAGATGCAGATCCAACAATGGGAAATAGCAGGCATATCATTTAGGGAAAAAAATCAAAACAAAACGTGGACTTCATCGTAACTTAAACATAATACTATGTTAAAAATCAAGGTTAATGGAACAAGAAGAATGAAGGTTTGTAAGACAGTTCATACACAAAATTAAAACAGGTAACTAAAACCCTTTTAAGGGCTCTTTCCAGACTTATGCTGTGATGCTATGAAATTAAAAGCAAATCGTTTACTCACCAGCAGCGCAGGCAGCTAAGACCTTTTCACTCTTGCACAGCTTTTTTGCTATAAGATGTGTACAATTTCTGTATTTCTAGCAAAACAAAACAACACACTTTGTATCACTGGAAACTTTAAAATTCTTTGTCTATTTATACATAACTAACCTATTGCACAGTCCTTTCTTCTAAGACTTGCATTTTTACTTCCACTTCTAATTCTCTTTGCTGTATTGTAATGAACAATACCTTACTCTCTACAAAAGCACAGTTCAGCTTGGACAGGCATTTGAGCAGTATCTTCTTCTCTTGTTTTTTAAATCCAGTTATTTGTATTATCCTTTTCTGGCTGTAACTTGCCATCTGCTGAAAGAAGAATGAAAAGGAAACATTAACACACAAAATACACACAATGGGAAGTTGCTTGCAAGGCCTGACTAGCACTTCTTTTCCAATAAAATAGGAAAACACATCAAAAGGAATGAATGCTGGTACCCCACATTTTAAGCTCTCACTGCCTGCCACAGCAAAGACACCTGACAGGCGGTACCGGAGCAGCCTGAGAACGAACCCGAAACTGCAGCCTGCAGTGGGCCGAACCCGCCAAGTCCGGTATCTTGGATCTGCACCCAAATGCCCGGAAGTTCAGGCCTTGGAACCCCTGCTCCGCTGTCGGCAGTGCGGTGCAGCCTCCCATCGCCCCGCGGGTGAAAGAACCCCGCCGCCGCCACAGGCACACGCCGCCGAGGAGCGGCAGGCCGGCCGCGGTCCCGCTCCGGAGGTGACGAGCGAGGGGCCCTGGCTGCGGCAGGGAGCCCTGCAGAGCTCACGTACGGAAGCTACGGGAGCGGGCAATGTACCGGCGCTGACGCTGCCTCGGGTCGGTTCGGTTCGGTCAGGTCCGTCTCGGTGCCCGCCAGGCGCCGCAGCCCGGCAGGTTCCCGCCTTCCCACGCCCCGCCCCCGGATGTGGCGGAGCGGCCGTTCCGGGACGTTGTTACTGACGCTCCGCGGTCGCCGGGGCCGCCGGCGCGGAGCCGCGGGGGGATCCCGGCCGGGTAAGTGGACCCGCTAGGGCTGCCCTTCCCCTCAGCTTACCGTACGGCCGGGCCTTGGCGCCGAGCGGGAGAGGGCCGGGCTCCGCTGCGGCCGCCCGCGGAGCAGCGGCGTTGCCCGCGGCCGCCTTCTCTCCCGTGCGGCACGGCAGGGTGCTGCGCAGCCCCCGAGCTCCTCGAGCTCCGAGGCGCTAATGGGAAGGCGGCGCCGAAATCCGTCTGAGGCGGTCCCGGCGGCGTGGCGCTCCAGGCCGGGCTGCAGCGCGGAGCGGGAAGGGGCGGTGCTCCGTCCGACGGAGAGGAGGGGGCCCTGCCAGGCGCAGGGAGGCGGGCCGGGGCCGGGGGCGGAGGGCCAGCTGGGAAACGCGCTGACTTCTCCGGGAGCCTGGAAATCGGCGTGGCTGTGGCTCGGCGGAACTGAAATTGTGGGAGGCGGTCTGGCAGGGGGGTGTGTCGGTCTGTACGCAAGCTGAAGTGTGTTGCCTCTGGAGCAGGTTGGCTGTAAGAATGAGGAGAGGGATCAGAGATTTCTGACCCTCAGAGCCATTTTCTTAAACGTCTCGTAGAAACGTTTCAAAGCCACATGGACAGGTAAGAAGGTAGTGCCACAGCCAGATAATGAAGGCACATATTTTTGGGAAGGGTTTTCTGCCATGTTCATGAAGGGAAAGCATTCCTGCCCCCCTGATCAGATTGGTGCAACGTTTTGGTTACGAGAGTCAAGGCTTGATTTTTTTTCAGTTTACAAAACAATACAAAGAGATCAAAATAATATTCAGTGTAGAATTCAGAAATGTAGAAATGCCAAGATTTGCTGTTCATAAAACTTTTTTTCGGTGTTCCACTCCTTATTTTGGTCCCTTATGTATTTGAGAGATGACTTTTGACTATTTCTCTCTCATGCAATGAACTGAACTGATACTGCACAAGAACTCTGTTGATGCTTCCTGGCAAATAGAGGTAGCTTTGTAGAACACTTTTATTTGTTTTTTCTACAGTTTGAGAGTAGAATACATGCGTTCAAGAAAAAAGATTAAAAAAGATGGTTGAAATACCTCTTTAGAGAACTGAGTTGTGGTCAAGTCACCCTGTACTCACTGAGGTATTTCAGATACTCTTTCGTATTTAAGACCTGTAAATTGAGATGTGTACCAGAAAACTCACAAGTGGTGAGTTTTTGTCACTGCAGCTTAGATCAATCGAAGCAATGCTTTGAGCTCACCACAGCTATAAAACATAAGTATCTCTCAAAAACCAAAATCAGGTAGATGCAGACATGTAAAATTTGGCAGCAGATTGGACACTTGGTTTAAATCTGAGTTTCCCAGAATATCAAAACAGAAAAACAATTCTTCCGGGCCACAGATATCTCTTGTCTTGCTGTTTAAAAAGTATTCTGGTACCCTTAATGCTTACTGAAGCTTTTCCTATCTCTTGTTTTCTTAGCATTGCAGTTATTTTTTTGCATGAAGAAGTTACCATCAACAATCCTTGTCACTACTCTTCCTGCAAAAATGACAGTGAAAAAAATCTTAAATATTTAGAGTTAATATTCGGACTACAGTTATTGCTTCCACTTGTCTATTGACAATGAAGATTTCTATTTTGTACCTGTTGCACCTTTATACTTTTACTATTGATTTATCAGGACTGTAAAGGACTGTCAGGATTGTATTGATTTTAATTCTTGTAAACTTTTACTTTATTTTAAACAGTTTCATTCTGACTAACTAGGACTGGCTACTATTCATTACTTGACTGATAACTAACAGCAGTTTTATGTCACGGGATTCTTAACAGGCTGGAGAAGTCTTCAGCATAAGATAGTCTAAACTAACTCCTAGTGAGCAAAGCTGTGAAGCTCTGTCAGGGAAGACTTAGGTTAGATTCATGTTCTTCATCCAGAGGGTGATTGTGCACTGGAACAGACTTCCCAGGGAAGTGGTCACAGTCCCAGGCCTGCAGAATTCAACAAGTGCTTGGCAACGCTCTCAGGCACATGGTGTGACTCTTGGGGTGTCATGTGCAGGCCCAGGAGTTTTACTTTCATGATGATTGTGGTCCCTTCCAACTCAGGATATTCTTGATTCAATCATTCATACTTACATGATGACCATTTCTTACCTTTAAGAATTAACTTTTTTTTCCCCATGTCTCTGGCACATAAAATAACGTCTAATCAAAACAACTGAGCTCTCAAATATTTCACATCTATTTTTTCTTCAAAATTTTACCAAAAATGCAATTTGTTACCAAAATGGAGCTTTAAGGAATTAAGTTTTTAAACCATTATTTCAGTGATGACTGCTAAATTTGGAATTCACTTACTGCCTGATTCAATTATTTGGTTCATTAAAAGTCTAAAATATTTTCTTCCTTTCCTTCCTTGTTGTGATGTCAATAAGGTAACTAAGTGTCCCTTATGTCTCATAGGTCTCATAGGGAGCAGGCTTTTTAACTGATGTATTTTTAAGTCCCTCTAGTTTTCTTTAATGTACTTGTCAAGTATACAATTCAGTCGCTCAGTATTATAAATTATATTTTAGCAGCTTGTCTCTGGGTTTTAGATAGTATCTACTTTTACACATTTTGCTCTACAGTACCTGTAACATGTTCTGTAAAATTTAGGAAGCAATTTTCTGTACTACACACATGGTATTTGACTTATAAACCTTCTAACTACATTTTAAGGATGATGAAGAATGGCTGTACAGCTCTCATGTCCAGTTCGTTAAGAAAGCAAGATCAGAAAAATAAATATTCCTGTCCTCCTATCACAGGAAGATTTTATTTACAGTGTATCATGTGTCCATCTCCTTCAGACCTCCGTTTTTAATTTTATACCTAGAGAGAAAAAAAGAGATTTCATTTTCGTTACGCTGTTCAGGCTTTCTGCCTTAAAATTTTTATTTCCTTAATGTTCTATCATATTCATATTACCATTACGTCTTTTGCCTTGAAATTTCACTTCTTGCATTTCCCAGTAATAGCTATTTTACTTCACATGGTTATCTTTCTTCAGGCCTTATTGGTGCTGCTGCTTTCTATGTTATCACTGTTGATCCTTGTCTGTAAATCTCAGTCTGTTTCTCAAAGCCTCTGCCACTTTGTCCTTTACTTTGCAAGTTAGGGTTTCTTTTTTTTTTGTTTGATCTTTTTTCATGTGTACTATTTGTCCCACATAAGCTTTTTGACTTCCTGTGTGTGAATTCCTTATGTAATTACTTGCACATTTTGAGAGTGATCAAGTCCACGCAAAAGCATCTTTCCATTGTGAAGTATAATCTGACTGATTTTTTTATTAGTGGAATATGTTTTGTAGTATGTGCTTAAAATACTTGCCATCATGCAAACAGATTATCAGTTGACTTATTAAGGAAAATTATTCATTGGAGATTTTTTCTTTGTCTAAACATAATATGTGTACTTTTAAAATGAAACTTGCGATGGAATAGACAAACATTTAGTAATCACAGCTTTCTAAAATAAACAATCGTGAAACTACACTGAAAAACCAGTCATAAAATCTTAAGCAGAATGAAGTGTCTCCACACTGCCTTCATGTGGATAAAAATCTAACTTTGTGCCACTTAAAATCCATTTTTTTCTTCAGTACCAAACATTGTCTCTGGCTTCTTGAAACTGAAAGAATTTAAATTTTCTTATGTAGTGATAAGGGATTACAGGGATTAGAAATAATACAATATAAATCCACAGAAGCTACGGGAGCTTCTTAGTAGTAATCACCTTTCTATAAAAATACCCGTAGTTTCTCTTATGAGCTAATGGATACAGGAAAGGCACAACAAGAATTTGTGAAAGTTCTTGCTTTTCCTCAAGCTGTACTGATAATATAAACTCTCTGTTATCATAACTTAATACTTATTTTTAAAAACATCTTCATGTTCTTCTCAGGACATATCTTTTGTGTTTCTTTCATGTAGCCATTTTTGTTCCAAAGAACATTTATTTTTATGACTATTATGAGCTCTGCCCATCTTCTCATCTCCTTGCATTCATCTGCCTTTCTGCCAGCTCACTTTCTGTTAATGTATGTCAGTGAATCAGTGGACAATCATAGGGAGCACAGAACAGTGTTCAACAGCTTGTTCTGTAACTCTTCTCTACATGAGTTTATGTTAATTAGTTAAGTCAGTAATGAATTAGTGAACTGTGTTTTTTTAGCGTACTTTCAGTCTCTCACTTGGAGAGACTTGGACTAAGGTTTTGGTTGTTTGTTTCTTTTAAAATATAGTTATGAAATGGATTTATTTTGCGTTTAATACTTAACTGTCCTACCACATAAAGTCCAAGTTTCTTTTCATTGTGTGACATGAGTTAATCTATCACTGCTTCTTAGACCTTCTTAATCATATTATTGCTCTTCTGCCCTGTCCTAAATGTGCTATATACCTGCCTGGAATACTTAAGTGACATAGTTTCTCTGGTGGCCTTCTAATAATAGTTTTTCCTACACAGGTGATCCATTCTGATGTGATCAGCAATTTTTCATTCATCAAAATCCTTTCATCATCTTCTTTTTCTCTTTGTTTTTTGAGAATGCCCATAAGTTGATTGACATTGTGTTTGCTGATTATTTATGTTTTGGGCTGTAAAATGCATTTAGTTTGTCTTTTGATATTTTGTTCTTCTCTAAGTAACTGCATTTAAAATGGTAAATATAGGTAATGCTAGAAGATATTGTAAATTTTTGCTAATAACTGAATGTTGAGTACAATCTGTATATACTATGAATAGTCCAGAATGGTTTATTCTCTGCAATAACACATCTCTCCCCTCAGTTTAATTTCTGGCTAGGCAACTGCCAACAGCATGTTCAGAATCCAGATAAACATTAGAAAATCAAGACATTAGAAAATCAAGTTAGATGAGATACAGTCAGTGGGGTAATGTGTTATTTTTACACTTTCTACCTTCTCTGCAGTTCGCTGTACTTGAGATCAGTATAGAGGGAAAAGGTAGAGCTGATTGTGGATGGAAAGACAAAAATACTGAAGAAAAGTTAGGAGAAAGCGTGGCATTAGTTATTATAGGGTAGATAATGAAGGTGCAACAAGAGCAAGAAAGATTCAAAATACCTACCAGAATGTTACAATTCTGTTTTCTTATTAATATGTAACTGGAATATAAGATTGCAACATATAGGTATCAGACATGGACTTGCCACTTAACGTGAAATTCATAGAATGGGATGGATTAGCAAAAACCTTAAAGGTCATCTAGTTTCAGCCCACTCCAAGCTCCCTTTTAAGTATTGGAAGACTATGATAAGGTTTTTCCAGGGCATTCTGATCTCTACTCTCAACAGCCCCAACTCTCTCAGCCTGTTGTCATAGCAGAGGCACTGTGATCATCTTTGTCACCTTCCTCTGGACTTACTCAAGCAGGCCCATGCCTTTCTAATGTCAGGAGTCCCAGAGCTAGATCCAGTGCTCCAGGAAGTGTCTCACAAGGGCTGAGTAGAAGTTTGAGTAGTTAACAGAGGATCATAGAGGTTCTTTGTAACTGTTTATTTGTCCCTTACGATGGAAAACCTGTTATCAGCAGATCTTGCAAACCTTGCTTGCCCA